CGTTTCGTTGGAGCGCACTTAAAGTGCGCATAAAAATCAGAGTGTACGGTCCATGAGCACTTGCAAGAAGCACAGCACATTGGTTTCCTGAGCTTACTGTATGTTCCCACTGATCCTTCCCTCCCTCCATAGAGGGATCTCGTGCCAGTTGAACAAAGAGATGAAGCTCTCGATGTTAATCACTTTCTGTGGGATGCTCAATGCATTCGACTTCACTTAGCATCATTGGAGATGACTGAATGCATATCTGGCCTTTACAGTGACTTGCGATGGCCTACCGATGTATCGAGGCAGTGCTGCTATGCTCCCAAAGAAGTCTGGTACCAATTTGCCGACCCCGGAAGGATGGAAGGCTTGGCGCTCCTAGGACGCTAGGATCTGTCCTGTGTGTGTTGCAGAGAACCTCTGACCACTGTCCTACAAGCGCCCCTTCATGCCACATCTGGTGTGACTAGTGTCCGCGTCCGTCATGCCAGTTAGACGCGAGAAAATATGGCGCGTACCGCGGTGGCGTGCAGGTGTTAAATGTGGACCAAAACCAACCCCATGCTCCCTGAGACGCGGGTAGGTCTAGGGAATGGACCTACTTCTCGTGTGCCGATTTGACACATACCTTCTGTACTTACGAAGGCGTATTCATGCATGAGTGTGCGGGTGTTCTCTCATTTATACGGATTGTATTCTACGAATCACTCCGGCCAAAAGCCTGCAATCGAGTGACAGGGAAGCATATGCGAGACGGTTAGGAGTCGCCTTCAACAAAAAGCTCCCCGCGTGCTCCGCGAAAGGCTGGCAAATTACCCGTGAGTATACCCAGCCCCATGTTTAGAGCTCAACAAGCTATACGACGGTATCAAACTTTAAAGAGAGTAAAATAAACGTTCCACATTCCCCTGACCTCGACGAGTACGGAGAGGCTGCTGAGATCTCAGGGCCATTCTAGGCTGACTAATCCAAGAATGACTAAGGTGAGAATCTGCATCTACAATGCATGATCACTTCCATCTGAGTCAAACGTACTGCAGGAAGACCGCCGAATCGATGGTCAGAGTTCTTTTCGAAAACTCTAGAAGAAGGATACGGTACTCGACAAGTCCCTAGAGCGAGCAGAACCCACTGGAACACGCTCGCGCCCGATGGGCAGGAATGAAGGATTTGCTGGCGCCCAACGAGACTATAGGTGGTACTATTATATGTTCTATGTTCTTCTGTGTATGTTCCCATGTTCTTGGACACCATTTCTGTGCGATCTAACTCTAGTGCTTGATTAAAACAAAATTCTTCAATTAACTAACCATTTTGTTGTTCGCTTTTCGTATGGTTTTCTATTACAATACAAAAGTATTTCTCTGTCGCTTTCATGCTTTTTGTATCTACCGACTCCATTCAATCATTCCAAAAGACTTTGTAGGCATGGCGCATTGAGGACACCTATCGATGGACCGGCTCTAGCATGAAATCTGTGCTCGACAAGCTATCGACAGACTATAAAAAGTCCGCCAAGAATGCTCTCTGCGGCGAAATAGGCGAGAAGAAAAGCGTGTTGAAATCAAGATTTACTGTCGTATACGTAGAGAGGCGGACATATAGAAATCAATGCGCTTGGTCGTGAGAGTGTTAAAAACATATAAAATCAGGAAGCCAAAGTAAAAACTTACAGCATTTACACTGTTAGTGCTCCTAATATACTTTCTGACGACGTCGCTGACAGTTGTCGTTCGGGATCGCGACAGAATCACTTCGTGAACGGATGACAGAAAACTATCGAAGATCTGCTCACGTGAGGTGGCATTCTGGAAGCAGAACATTGGTGACCGTACTTAAACTAATGTTTCAGTTGTTCCACTGAGGCCACAAGGGCATTTCGAAGTTATTAAAAATTCATAAAATTCAATGGTGGCATTTGTATACTCTATATACAAAGTGTATTAACGTTTGTGTAATAAGGTTAAGTAAAAATACAAATGCAGGCTACACAATATTTTTGCTTTTCACCTTACATCATTAGATATCTGGCAAATATGCTTTATCCAGAGCAGATTAGAAATGTCTAACGCCAAAGTGCTTCAGTTTGTGTTTTGCGAAGTCCTCCGATAACTCGTGGGAAATGCCGATTAGCAGACATTGAGGCTCCTCCTCACTCTTCTGTGAGCATAGTTTGAAACCCATATGCTGTGGCCAAAAAGTGGAGGAGCTTTCTGTATTTTGTTCAACTGAGCCGTAGAAGAAATGGATTTGTTTTGTCTCCGTAACCAACAATCTGATCTTGGACACGTGCCCATGTTCCTATCCTCCATCACTACCTAGCTTTAGGTAGAGGTGTTCTAGGGGATTTTTATCAAGCGACGGTTTTGGGGTTATCAACGGGAAATGTACAGTAGAAAATATTGGGCTTCCCCATTGCTAGCTCCATATCATTGCGCGTCGTTCAAGTTATCCCATGTTCGTTGTTCAAAGTTGATAGTAGAAACATAACACATAACACTTAAAGTCCCCTTTGAAATGCTTTCGATACTTTATTCTGACTGTACTGGTGCAAGTTCCTGCACAAAGATTTTTTGCCGTTAATATGTGTGGTACAGAACAACGCCTCAGTTGTCTTTTCGAAATTCCTTGGTGTTAAAGAAAATGCAATCCGAACTTCCTGACTGAAGAAGTGAGGCATACTTCATAGAGCTGAGTAAAACCTTCGCATGGAGGAAGTAGTGATAGGGACCAGAAGAATGACGAAACGGAGTTGTCAAAGTGGCACTGCCGCTGATTTAACAGATCTCGGCATGAATCGTGACGTTGTTTGCTTCCTATGTGCACTGCCTACTATTTTCTTTTACAAAAATGGATTTCCATGCAATACAGGCGGTATGGACAGGAACATAGCAGAGCGACGAAATTTCCTCACATACACATTTACTGGCTTTTGTTAAACTACTTTCGAAGTTTCTGACAAATGAAATTTACAGAACCTTTCGTTCTCGACCACGGTCGTGTGGTGCAACTAAAGAGATGTCGCTCAGTAACCGACAGAATGCCCTGTTTTAAGTTCTTCCGCCATTCAAGTTTGGCATCCCTTCGAGGTCGGGAAATTAGTGCCATAGTTGTCTGTGAAGAACCTCCATCCATCCACATTGGGAACTGCGTGCGGTGAAGACCAAGGAACGCCCTAGCAGAATTTCTGACGAATTTCAGAGTAAATCTTCTCTACTATAATTCAACGAGATATCTAAATCTTGAAGCAGATCAAAAATTTTATACCAGTAGCCGAATTCACACATAAATCCGAAGATCTTTATGGATGATGAATGCTAGTAAAGGCGTGGGATGAACGTCTCGGGATCCGCACAATGCGTGATATCGGGTCATGTATAAGAATAATGCATTCCTATTTTAACTAGGAAAATCAAGGCAAAGTCCTTTTTCATGTGAACTGGGTATTTATTTTATTTTACTTTGTTTTATACGACCAGTATTTCGCATCTACTGTGCGGATTCCATCACTTCTCATATTCGATTCTTTTCCTCGCATACATCATCCACTAAGGTCTTCCAAATTTTACGTATGGTAACTCCCATGACCGACTTTCTATTAACCTCGGCATTGATCAAGTAATTCTTCGTATTTTTGTTGAGCAAATGCGAGGTGTTATTATTCTTTATTCACGAATAACCTGACGTTTCGGCTGGTACATCTTGCAGTGGGAGTTACTGCGAGATGTACAAGCAAGATGCTTCCGACTTGTAAAAGAAGCGCTGTCACTGAGACAAAAGATCGTCTTAGCTCGACAGTCAATACACTTTCTCCGCCGCTGTCTAAAACATCGAGTCGTTCCAAACTTCATCAAACGAAGACGACTACACGACGTATGCGGACTACCAGAGGACAGTCACCAAGTACTGCACATCGAATTGCGAATACTACGCACCTGTCTACGAAGCCGACAAAACCAGATGTTCGCCAAGTGGAAGAAATGAGAGACGAAGGAAAACTATTGTGCTCAGTATTTGGAGGACCACCTCTGGAGGAGAATAGTGGGCAGGCTCTGAGGAAGGCGAAATCCGCCGAAACGTCAGCTTTTACGTGTGGCTTCGGCTGTTGTTTGGGGTTTTTCATTTCATTTTGAATATCATAGAATGCTGGTCGTGTTGATTCTCCTTGAAGCCTTGAAATAGCCAGGCTAAAGCGTTCCCACAATAAAATTCTGTATACCCTTAATAATATAGGGTAAAATCTCTTGGATCGGTTTCCGATATCCTCAAGTTCACAACCTCTCCAATCTTCCAGAGATAATTGGAAAAATCTCTCCGTCGGAATGGTCCTTTCTATCAAGCAAAACCGATCGACTAGAATGCACCAGTTATTTATTCTCCATCGCTTTTAACAACTGTTTTCCAACAATGAGGCAATCTTCTGATTCCACCTCGATTGAACACCTCATCTACTAAAACAAACAATTTTTTTGAGACAAATCCGAAGTTCGTCACCATTATCGAACACAACTCCTTGCAATGCATAAAAATCCGACGTTGCGATGTGCACAGAGTGGGGTATATGCACAGGCATCCGCCAGTGACGTGCCTTCCGAACCTTTTTTAGGAGATTTGTGATATTCCATGCCCATTTTGTTAGTCTCCAGTGGTCTCTCACAATTGTGCCATATCAGACAAGTCAACCCTTCCACATTTGAAGCGTAATGTCTACTGACTGTTACCTTATTGGTAAATCTTCCTTCTCGTAAAGCGTATGGGTTCTCAGAATTGAACAATGGGTGCTGGCCGGAGGCGCTTATTTTGTAGACTTAGAGCTATGAGGAGCTTCATAAGCCAGGCTACCTGTAGTTGTTTTCGTACAACCAAAGCACAAAAGCTGTAAGGATTCTGCAAGAGGAAAAGATGGATTTTTAAGCACTACACGTAGTTATTAGGCAGTATATTCGCAACATGTGACAATTTTAGCGCTCCAGTACCGAGAAAATAATCTATGCATTAATGTATTCGTGGATAGTTTATCCGGCCGCTGACTCAAAAAATTGTAATCCATCAATTTTCAACGAGAACAAAAAACCTATTGGCATACTTGTGAACGAGTTTTCCAGAGATTGATGAGCTTCGACCACTCTTCTGGGCGGATACGCTCGCAAGCTCTTTGCAGTCGACTCCGTTCCTGAATCAAGATTTATAGTGATTTCTCCAACTCTATGGTAAAATCCAGTAATGCTAGAATCCAGTGCAGGACTAAAACTATTTGAAAAAAAATAAAGAAAAAAAGAAAGAGAAGAGTGTTAAAATATCCAACATACACTTAACGTCAAGTATTTCTTTGGCTTTCGTGAAATGTCGGTGACCAACCACGAATAATCCGGGACGCGATTTCGTAAGCATTCACGGGACTTGCGTAGCTCCTGAAGTTCTCCTCTCTTCTTTCTTTTTCGTGATTTTTCATTCATCTCCGTATGAAGCCACATTACTTCTCATCTCTATTCACCGCATATTCCTTTTGTCTTTCCCAATTATTTACTTGGAACCTGGCAATGAGAGGACACAAGCATTACGAAGAACCTTCTACACGAATAGTTATCATGACGAATGCGAGACTTCATTCATAATTACAGTCGATTATTCTTTAGATGTTTAACGTAGACAACAGCATTAATCTTCTTGTTTTTGCCCGCCTCTAGACAGATGAAGAGATAATTGCGAAGCCTGGACCTCAGCCCAGAACGAACCGCCATTACCCTTTCCGAGAATTCACGTGTTACACACGGCGCCACTGAAGCCCTTGTTCTTCCTTTCTCTTAGCCAGCCTTTTTACCCTTACGGTTTCATCAGCAATCACCCGCCAGCGAGAATGATCGGGGGAACATAAATCGGCAAAAAGTGTGGCTGAAAGAAAGGCAGAACAGGAGCCTTAGCGGTGCCCTGAGTAACACATGAGCCCCCAGAAAGGGTAAGAGCTGTTCGTTTTGGCTTGGGGTCTAAATTTTGTAAAGCACCATGATGGTTGTGCTTCACATAATACCCTACCGTGAAAAAAAATCACGGGAGCAGATAAGAAGTTATACACTGTAACACACTTGGAGAATCTTAAGTGATAAAACAGTTGCATTTGGATAGCCACTTCGAAATAATGTCGATCGTTCGTTCAAGAAATAGTTCGCGGTAGTTGTTTTCTGGACTTCCATTCATTAATGGAGGCTTAACAACTAATGAAAATGTTCTGGAGTTGTAGATTCTTTGCCGGCTCTCCTTGGCGCCGTCGAAATTCTTCTAGAATTGTGTAACGACGATTATCTTCCTTCTCAATCTCCTCGTTATTTACAAATTCACATTCTCCCTCATAGTTCAGAGACTATTCCCGCAGTTCACATTTTAAGAAAATTCACCGATATATTCACTACTTACTAAAGATTTTAGGATTTCAATAAAAATCTAACCCGTTCCGTTTCAAATGCGAAGACGATGGACTCGACCTCGTAGAGAATCAGGTCGACCATCATGGTTTCGTCGTTTCCGGAGATTTCGTAGCGGTCGTCGTCGACATCTTTGTCGGTTGCCAATCGGCCGGCAGCCATATCGAATAGCCATTTCAACATTCTTTGGTGCCTATAGAAATTGCTTCATTGCTGGGTTCCGGTTATTGTTGCTAGAGGTATTTTTACAATAAATAACAAGGCGAAAATCGTCACGAAACGTGTGTCAGTCTACTTAATGTAAGCGATAGGATACGCGCAGGGCTAAAGAGAGGATGAATTAGTTGACTCTAAGAATTTCTGTGGCTACTCGTAGTTAAACTTAAACTAGCGTCTTAAGTGTGTTATAGATTTTTTCTTTTTCAAATGAGCGAAATCTATAGCTGTCCCATTGTTTTGACGAAATGAAATAGTGTAGTGTAAACAGAGTGAAAGGAGCACGTATCATAAGGAAAGAAATAGCGATAACAGAGGAAACGAAGAAATACAAGATCGTAATCTCGCCAGCAACCACGGCCACCACTAAGCCACTACTTAGCGAGTGGACACGCCCCATATGCCTTTTGAGGACATCTAGTGGGACGACTAGAAGGACAAGTCGTTAACAGGATGGCAAACGATAACTAACATGTAAAGGAAACTATCAAAAGGATGAGGTATTCGCGTTGATCACAATGCCTGAAAGATGCGCCATTCATTCGACCGCATTAGACATCGCAAAGGAGATTGAATGCTTTTCTCGCTTGTAGAACTTGCTGTGGTGTACCGCTGGTTGAGCTCAATGTTTCTATCTCCCCAGACAACTTTGGTGCAATTTTTTTGATCTTCGAGAGATTGGTGGCTTGGCTCCCATGAAGAACGGGATCCAACCAAGCAGCTTGTGTACATTTTGTGGCAGCTTCAACCATTGCGCTATAGACAAGCATAGCTGACCAATAGTGATTTAAAGCAACCTCTGATCTCCTTAAAATGTTGAGGAGGCAGAGATGGTTCAAAAGCCATTTCGCTGAGGATTTCTTTTGTCGGATTAGTCCTAATCCAAATTATTATCATTAAGCATGAAAACAAATTGTTCAAACTCCAAATACTGCAGATGCTTTTCCGATTCGATGCAACAGATAGCTTGCGTTTTACCCTTGGTTTGAGGCATTTCTGTAATGTCCACAATGGAAAATTTTAAATTTTTGTCGGATTCTACCAGATCCTTAGCAGAGTGAGACAGCATTGGTGAAATTAAAGAAACAGAAAGAAGCTGGACGGACTTCCCGTCACCACATCACGAATGCGTGGAACTTTGACAGCTTGATGATGATGATACAACAAAGCAGCCTCGTGTATTTAAGTTTTTCAAAACGATGTTCTTTTTTTTTATCCTGTATAGCACATTACTAGCGTCTTTACAGAAGACTTTCTGACCATTTGGAGAAGTGCGACCAGTGAACGGTGAATAGAACAGCGTAATATTCTTCCATTTTCACCGTTCACTGAAAATCTGAGCAAGCGGGGGATGAGGACAACATCTAAATGCGCTAGGAAACCTGGTCACAGATTTCCACCTGCTTGAAAAAAGTTTTGGGAGACAAAATATGGGAAAAATCGTGCCACTGCTATTTCCTATTCTTACCACAGCGGTTATTTAAATCGTGCTATGATTATTAGTGTAGCACAAAGGAGTTGGTCGAAAATTGGAAAATTTCCCAGTTATTTGGATCTCCGGCAGGGAATGAAGCTCCCGAGGAAATTGTTAAGTATTATATCTAGAGGTAACTATTCACGGCTTTTTTTGTTTAAAGGACCTTTGCAGATAATTTTCAAGAAAAGTAAATAGTGTTGTCATATTTGCTATCGCATTTTCTAAATTTTTGAAAAATTGTATCTGCATGGAATAATGGTTCCGGTGACGGTGATCAACTTTCGTGTTTTGTTCGTAGACAAGAAAAGGATTATTGTGTACTGAGCAGTTAGAAGTCAGATAAAGACAGCGAAACGACGACTGCTTTAAAAAGCTGCGAAATGGGGCATGCATATTATCGACGACGTTCGGTGGAATAAACGAGGTTTTGTTCAAAGGAAAAGAACAATGATCGAGAATCTTGTGGTGAACGGTGCTGCTTCGCAAGCAGTTCGTTCTTTCTCAACCGCTCAGTGATCCAGTGATGAGCGTCGCTATGGCAATGGTGAGACGGACGAGTCGAGCGGAGATTAGCGGATTTAGCTCGGCCACCTTACTGGACGATCCGACTCTTCAATGATCCAAATTTGGCGAAAGGAAACTTAACCTGTCAAATCTAATCGAACAAATGTCAGTTCATAGTCTATTGGATACGATGGATTCTCAGAAACACGGTTTTTCTTTGCTGCTGTCGCAGAAGGTATCATTTCAAAGTTATATACCCTATGACGATCCTCCCAACTACTTACCGCCTCATCGTGGCTGGGAAATGTTCCTGGGTATTGGGCTGAGATGTACAGAGAGGTAATTCATTTCCCAGGCAAGGATTCCAAGCTGAGAAGGAGTTCGGCGTTCCTATCGGAAAGCCCAGCTAAGAGTAAACCAATAGGATCCACCACCATCCTGGAATCAAACCAGTCGCATGGTGACAAGTCTCACTCTGATCCACAAAGGCTGCGACTGCCTGTAGTGGTGACGACCTGGGGCAGACCTTAGCCAGGCTGACCTTGGGACTCCAGGAAACTACAATACCTAAACCAGCAAAATTCCGACAAATGGAAATTATGCCGAGGCACGCACAGCCAATGGAGACGGGCTGTCCAAGTATTCAAGTATACAAGTTTACGGCGGTAGGCGGAAGAGTGTAATCTAGGCTTATGCAATCGTCAAGTTTTTAAATACTCTATTTATCAAACAATTACTGACGCTTATCGAAGAACTAGCACTGTCGTGAACGTGTGCAGCCGAAGAGCAATGAAATTCCATCGAAATCAACCACGAGGAAGGATATTCCATGGGAAAATTCCGCATTATTTTGGAATAAATGGAATACAATGAAAACGATTGACTTATAGAAGCATCCACCGAATAGCCCGAATAGTTTTTGGGTTCCTAGAGCCATATCACCGTCCTAAGCCTAAGGTAAGTATTTAAAAAGCCGAGTTTCCTTCGATCTCGTTATAACTAATCAACATGTAATTTTCCTTTAACTGTTTAGCTTACATGAGGATGTTATACAACTTTTATTCGGCCAACGTTTCGACGTCTTCGTCTTCATCAGAGTAGATAGTCCGAGTGGACGTCCACAGTTCTAGGTACTTTCGATGTGGTCTTTCTGCCGTCGTATAAGAAGAAACGCGGTTTTTGAAATACTATCACCCCCTGTGCTAGTTGACAATGATACCGACTTTAGCAGGATGGATTGTCGAAAAAAAACGTCGTCGAACAATTATAGCAACAGCAATCATCGTGTATAAAAGAGCACGGCAGTGTGAGATAACCTCATTTGAGCGGTGTTCCAGTGAAGAACATCCGACTCGATACGATGACGAGGACACCGCATTAAGAGTACGAAGAGCTGTGGAAATCGACACGGATCATCGGCTCTGACGAAGACGAAGATGTCGAAACGTTAGTTGAATAAAAGTTGTATAGCAAACTCGCGTAAGCTAAACAATCTAATGAATTTTACATTCTAAAGTAAATAGTTTAGTAAAAGACAAAAAATGAAGGACGAGGCTTCTAATGCCGACCAATCCCTGAGAGATGTGCTATGCATTCGACTTCGTCGACCATCATTGGAGATGAATGAATTCATATCCGACCTACACAGTGACTCGGCATGGCTTGCGAATGAATCAAATCAAACTCTTATATTCCCAGACAATTCTGGTAGCAATTTGCCGATCAGGGAGGGATGGAAGAGTTGGTGAACCTGAGGAGCTATCGTGCTATACGCCTCCTTAAGTAAAAGGTATGTTAAGTCGATTTAAAGGCCAGGGGATAAGAATCATGTGGAGCTAAGAGGATTTAACACCAGGTAGTAAGTTTTGCTAGTGTTGACTGGAAAACTAGAAGTAAGCGATGCCATGCGTCGAATAATTTAGTGAGCAACTCGCTGGATCTGATTCCTTTTCCCATTTAATCGTTCAGTGTTTTCTATCCTACACTGTCTGCTTTAAGTTTCGTCAACGAAGATTTAAAGAAAACATCTTGCTGCCTTTATTAGTCATATTCGCTGCAGTATGAAGTATATATGGTTCATAAGGTGTAAAAATAATGACCGCTTTTAATCCGAAGTCAAAATAACTTGGATCGTGACGACTTTATCGGCTGAAATGAAAACCTTAGGGCCCACAGACCATTTCCATCAAGAAACAAGTTTTTTTATTCCACAGTGATGGAATTATGATTCTTTTCTACATCAAGCCTCGTATTTCGATCCACTTGCATTAGTTGTTTTGAAAATTAAACCTCTGTTCTCAAGGTTTTGGATGCTTGTAACTGTAAAAGCACCGAAAATTGAGAGGAACCTTTATGAGGAAGGCAATAAGCCATAGAACCAAGTTCCCTCTCTAAGTGTGCGAAGTTCCCAATTCCTCGACTACTTTGGTGGTCAATGAATCACCAGCAATCATCGAAATAGCAACACGGTTACAGCTGCGTTAGCCTACTAATTTGACTTCACTTCCACCTTTTTTCATGGGTTAACGCCTCATTATGAAAGCTGGTTTGCCCGGTGTCGGACTATTATTTCTTTTCGAAGAATTCATGCCCCTGATATGTTAACCCGGAACGAGAAATAGTTGGACATTTCCGTTCGGATATCCGTTGGGAAAACTGTACCAGTAGCTTGATTATACTCGAGCTCACAGGGAGGTGAACTTCCCTCCGATCAAGGTTTGGCCATAGCCTTCTCGTACATTTATGGGCAAAATAGGCAAAATGCTAGTACAACATACTTCGGTACTTGGTTCTTTCTAAAGGCGGATCATCCATATAGATTATAAATCATGTGACATTTCGATTTCGTATTTACATGGCCTTATTATCATGCATTAGTTCGTGATGCCTTTCTGTGGCTTCCCACGTCTTCGTACTACTTCCTATGGCTTCTACGTGGTCCGTTTATCGTGTCGTTTGAGTTGCTTTATAATCCCTGAAAGGAAAT